GTTCGAAACAGCAGAGGTTATATCAACCCTCGGGGTGCCGGTGTTGTTGGAAAAAAAAAAGCCCAAACCCCATTTGTAGGTCGGGTTCGAATGCAGGGCCGCTGGATTCGAACCCGGGATCTTTACCTTACAGTGATGAGCGCCGTGTCAACGCCTAAACCGTTGCGGCCACCGCCGCCCCGGCAATGTAGTTATTGTCTACCAATTTTTGCTTTATCAACTGATAATAAAGATTTCATTGATCACTTCCAAGCCTAAAAGAACTAATTATCGTTTGTTACTTATAGTTCATTAATTTTTAAGTACAAAAAGTAAAGGAAAGTAATTTCTGTCATACAGGAGGGCTTAACGTCCAACTACCCGTTGGGTGTCGCAGACGAGAGATCAGACCAATTTACAATATATTTTTCATATTATTAATAACTAAAAATCCAAGGGTTATGCCGGGATTCGAACACAGAACCGCAAGCATAGCTATACGAGTCGAACACCGTAATCACCCGGCCACCTCGGTCCCCCAAATTTATTTACTTTATAAACGAAAAGCAATTATAATTCTTAATTTAAAAATATACAAGCAAAGCATGTCGGCAATAACGCAGAGAAATATTTCGCTCATATACAGATATTTATTAATACCTGAGAACGAAATAAACCACAACATGCGAAATATTATAAGCCAACAAACTTCAACGGATTTCCCATTTAGACGAAAGTTAGAGGCAAACTTTGACGTTCAAAGTTAAAGGAATAAACGATCAAAGCTTTTCAATCACTCCAGATTAATCCCAATGTTCTTTGCCGAACGAGGGAGTTCACAGAATCCAAGGTTAAGAGGTCAAAACTACTATCAAACCCCGAAAGTGTTGTATCTTATGGAAAAAATAAACTCGTTGGGGAAATCACTTATTTTTGTGGGGTCAATGGGTTAATAATAAGAATACATTGTTGAGAAGGCAATTCTACGGATCTATTTGATTGTTTATTTTTTATTTTTTTATTTCTTTATTGGCTGTCAACGAATCTAACAGAATTATGAATTTACAAGGGTCTGAGAGATGACCCAATTTGGTATTATTAAACTTGTATAAAGTTAGAAGGAAAACAATAGTGTAACTACAACGTTGGTTAGTATGAGCATATAGAAATTGTAAAATGAAAAAAACGTTTAAAATCATTGTGAAAATGTAATAAATGCCAAAGTTTTGACGTGAACAGGCGAATAAAAGGATTAATATGACGTTAATATATAGACCCAGGAATATGATCATTACAATTAAATAAGGTTTTTAGTTGAGATGAAAAAATGAAAAAAAGCACGAGCGGGATTCGAACCGACGATCGTCGGCTTGATACGCCGCTGCTCTACCACTTGAGCTATCGTGACCTCGATCCACTCGGACATCAACTTCCTATCTCAACCCACCTTATGAGTTTTCCCTCCTTTTTGCCATATTTCAAATGTCGTGTAATCGGATTGGATTCTCGACGAGAAATGAAATGGCCACGGAAAGCTTTAGTGAAGTGTACTTCATTTTATTTCATTAAATTCACTAATTTCGTGGTTTGCTTGACCAATTAATACATTACAATTAATTGGTCAAGCGGACCACGAAATTAGTGAATTTAATGAAATATGATCATTGTTGATCAAATTAAAATTACATCCTGTTTTCTATTGGATTATACTATTTCAGAAATTATATTTCTAACTGGACTCCCCCCAAAAAAATAATAATAACTTTACATCATAATCCGGGACACAATCTAAATAGATCGATGAATTTATTATCAACGTCCCTTCGTCCTTCGACATTTCAACACAATATAATAAGAAATTTGCCGATCGATTCGGTAACGATTTTCGAAGAAAGGCACAGGAGGGGTTGCCGACCAGGGAAGGATAAACAACAAGCAGCTTCTTGTTCATTCAAACTTTGGGACAAGTGCCTTCTCAGCCTAAGGGCTTGACGTAACAAACAAGTCCCCTTCATCGTTCTGCTACGAAGCTTTGAATTGGGAATGAATATTTAAAGAACTCTCATAAAAATCTAATTTACAGACTAGTTTGCTGATTTTCTTTCCGAGGGATTGAATAAAGATGTTGTGCGTTTTGGGCAAACTTCTTTTCCCGGATACGTCCCTAATTCCGACTGTTAAGGTAGGGTCGATTCACAAAAGGGCGAGGCCAGAAGTTCTGATGTTAATCTTTTCTTTTGAATGGCAGTTGTTGTTTGCCCTTTGACCATCGAAAAAAAATCACTTTTTGAAATAAGATTTTCTTCAAAGCCATAATTGTTGAATAATACTCCTTAATGATTATTAACTTCTTTGGCTTTTTTCCATATGCTATAAGCCCACTTGCTGTCATTAATGCCTATCCTAAAAGTAAAGGGTCATATGTGAAAAATCGAAAGCACCATTACCTTTGAGTCTTATTTCAACTAATTTACCAAGCTACTCGTAATAAAGGTCAAAAAATTATCTAAACTGAATTTCCTAAGTCAGGTCCACAATGAGGGACAGACAATGGAATGACCAGATGGTAGGTCACGGATTTGGAAGGTTGACCACATTATACTATAGCAATTGCTTTGTTTGATAATTTTATTAACATAAAACCAAAATCTAAAATTAAAAGCCGACATTTTATAATTTTAACATTTAATTCATGTGTTTAAACATCGGAAAATATTTGCTGTATAGCCTTGGAAAGTAGCCCGTATTACATCATAAATTACCATAATCTGAGCCTTGAAAACGATTAAAAGTTATTAATGCTAAAAAGTTATTTTAATAGTTTAATTATATTTAGTTTTAATTAAGTTTTAAGAAAATATTGTTATAACGGGAGCGTACAAGTTGTGTTGATCACGTGAATAGTTAGCTTCTTGTGCAAGAATATTCATGCTTTTATGTACATAAATGTATTTGAAGACCACCATAACCTCTCTTTATATAAAGCTAATGCACAATGAAGATTTATTGATTTCTATGACATAGTATAAATTGAAATAATACCTGATTAAAGTAGGACAGTTGTATAAGGATTTCTTTATAAAACATTGACAACTTGTGCACAATAAAATGGAAACTTTATTTAAATAGAGCTTAAACTCGTTTTCGTAAATATTTAAAATGAAATTTCTTAGCTCTACCTTCTTCCAAATTACGGAAAAAATGTATTGTTACAGTTTTACAACTAACGTATCACAAGTTTTATAATGAGGTTTGCTGCCGAAATTTATGAATGCCGGTCTGCTCTGGAAAATTACGTTAAAACAGAAAATACCGTTGTTCTTTGGCAGGTGAAGGTTGAACTTATTTCGGTTATTTCTTGCTAACTTATCAAAAGAATAACTTATGAAACTTAGAATTGAACGGTTGGGCCTTGATTTATGGTCAACATTTTGTCGGAATAGCTAGTGAAGATTCTACGGCGTAGCTTGTAAACTGTTACACAATTTATAAAAATGATATCTCTTCAGAATTGTTATAATTGTAGAACATATCGGTAAGATAGAGCTAATATAGAGAAATTCAACTCCGAGGATCAAACTTGTCAAAGTATAGCCTTATGTGTATGAGGAACGTGACCCATAAGTGAAAGCTATTTTCAAAAAAATTTATTCTATATTCACTAATTTCGTGGTCCGCTTGACCAATTAAATCATTACAATTAATTAAGGTTTTTAGTTGAGATGAAAAAAAGTAAATGGCACGAGCGGGGATTTTGAAAAATGGCAAAAAGGGAGGGAAAACTCATAAGGTGGGGTTGAGATAGGAAGTTGATGTCCGAGTGGATCGAGGTCACGATAGCTCAAGTGGTAGAGCAGCGGCGTATCTAGCCGAAGATCGTGGGTTCGAATCCCGTTCGTGCCATTAACTTTTTTTCATCTCAACTAAAAACCTTAATTAATTGTAATTTATTCTATATCTCGCTTACTTTTTGAGGGACGTTAATGAAATTGGTTAGAATTTATGACAACCATATTAGATTTAGTGGTCCGATTGACCAAACAACATCTTTCAACTAATTATCTTTATCTAAGGTATTGGTTGAGATAAAATTTATGACAACTAATTAAAATTTTTAGTTGAGATAAAAAAAGTCAGTGTCACGAGCGGGATTCGAACCTACGACCTTCGGCTAGATACGCTGCTACTCTAACCACCTTTGAATATATGACAAAATTAGGGAAATATGAAAATAGTTGGTGAAGATAAAAAGATATTAGTTGGTCAAGCGGACCACGAAAACTAGTGAATTTAATAAGTTAAAATGAAGTATATCTTCATTAAAGCTCTTCGTGGCCATTTCATTTGTAGCCGAGAATCATATAGATTACACGATATTTGAAAAATGGCAAAAAGGAGGAAAGATTCAAAAGGTGGGGTTGAGATGGGAAGTTAGTGTCCGAGTGGATCGAAGTCACGATAGCTCAAGTGGTAGAATAGCGGCGTATCTAGCCGAAGGTCAAGGGTTCGAATCCCGCTCGTGACACTGACTTTTTAATCTAAACTAAAAACCTTAATTAATTGAAAGATATTAATTGATCAAGCGGACCACGAAAACTAGTGAATTTATGACAACGTTTACCCAGTATACTTTCGAAACTTTCTCGGACACATTGTTTTGAGAGGTACTTCGTTCCAAATGAAACTCTTAAATTATTCATTCAAAATTGGCTTAATTTTAGTAATATGTCTAGCTTATGGCTTCTTACTTTTTCAGAGCTTGCTTTGTGGATGGATCAAAAGAACCGCCAAAATCACGGGAAACGAAATGATCAAATTGCACCTGCACATTTTGTTTTATACAGTTTAGGCTAAGGTCACACCGGAGGTCACAAGCTAGGTGAGTAGTGACAAGGCGAGTCGCTTGATGAGTCACCCAAGAAAACGAGAACGTAGCGCGTGGTTGCATAGCGATTCATTAGTAGTAAACGAGCGGGTCTGTTTTTTTAACCTGGTCGGTAGTGATTTCTGATCGTTTCATGATGGACGAGGTTATTATTTCCGAAGTTTTTAAAAGAACTGCTTTGTGGAATCCAAATGAGGAACTCCACAAAAATTTGTCGGTGCTTAGAAGATTGTGGGATGAAGTAGCGGAGGAGGTCCAGAAAGATGGTAAGTACCTAATATTTACTATTTGATTTTGTTTCTTTGTTTTTGTAGAATAATATTTTACGGGCCTGTTATCTTATTTTACAAAATCAAATTTATCATTTTCGGTTAATTAACGCCATTTATATTTTAAAATGGTTTTGTTTAAACAGATGCTACAATTTAGTATTTACAGATTCTTTATTTTTCAACATCTCAAATTATTTCATAGGTGATACACCAGTTTATTGACGTAAATAATATTCGCGGATAAAGCAAAGTCTAGTTGCCATGGTACTGATCCTTCACCATTTAAGTACTCCCACAAAACTTCTCTCGTTCTCAAAGCAGAGTTTCCAAACCTGTATTGAGGTCGCTGTGCAGTATTGTGTAATCTTGTCATACTGTTCATTTCATCTTGAGAAAATGAAGAGGTCATATCTTCAGATAGTCGTTCAAGCGCCGAATTGTGAAGCTTTTGTGATCGATTTCCCGGTGTCAATGTTTGTTTTTATCGCTTTTTGTAAAACCCTCTGCTTCGACGCCATTAGACCAAATGCACATTCAACCGTTCTGCGAGCTTTCGACAGACGGTAGTTGAATACTCTTTTCCTGTCATTGATATTTTTTCTCCGAAAGGCCTCATCAAGTAATCCAAAAGAGGGTAACCACCATCCCCCACTACAACAAATGACAACATGACATTTGTACCAGGAATTTCTCTTGATGGGGGAATGTTAAGGTTATCGGTTTCTAACATCTGGAATAATGAAGAACTTCAAAAATAATTACCTTCGCACATTCTATCTTCACTACCAACATCAACTGCAAAAATTTTGCAGTTCGCATCAACAACTGCTTGCAATAAAATGGAGAAGTACTGTTTGTAATTGTAATAAACTGATTCTCTGTGGGGGTGGACATTTTACCCTGATGTGCTTGCCATCAAGTGCTCGCAGACAGTTTGGAATGTTCTATTTTTTAAGAAATTGATCGGCTATTCAGTACCAAGTATTATTAGTAGGGACTGGAATGCATTCATTTAATGTGTTCCACAAAACATCGCAGATTTCTTTCACAATGTTCGCAACACTTGACCGACCCAGGCGAAAATGAAAAGCTAAAGACCTAAATGATTTCCTGTTGCTAAATATCCGAAACAAAAAAAAGTAATAAAAATAAAAAACATAAAATAAATAAATTTATTTTGTTGAATCCGCTTTTCGAGATTAGTTACTTTCTAAGTTAGTTATCTTATACCTAATGTACTGTCTAATTTATTGACTTTTCGTTGTTGCAGTGAAATTCGTGAAGGCAAGATGGAAAAATATGGGAATATATTTTTTTTTCGAGACATGAAGAAAATCCAAAAGCCTCACAGTGGGGACGGTGGTGATGCTACAAACAAGTCTCCATGGCGTTTATTTAAACAACTGCAGTTTTTGCAAACTACTATTTGCGTTTCAGAGAGGGATTCAAGTTTGGTCACCGACAATGTCACAATTTCAACTGCAGACTAAGCTACAACCGAGGCTACAGATTCTACACCATCATCACCACACCGGATGAAAGTCATGCTACACCATTACCCGCCAAGAAAAAACTATGTTGGACCTTCAAGGCACGGACGGACAGAAATGATGCGTTAATAGAGCTTGAAAGAAGAAAAATTTACCTCCTCCAAAGAGAAGTGGAAAAGAATCAAATGACGACCGTCTGTTCTTCGAGTGCCTTCTTCCTTACATGCAAGAAATACCGAAAATTCGGAAATTGAAACTGAAGAGCGAAATACAAAATTTGATATTGCGATAAATAGAAAATGCGCAATCTTTCATTCCCCAAACCTACTTCATCAGAGTTCTCCGTCATAGTCATTGATGGAAAACCAACAGGCACCATTGGCAGTTCATAATTAGCGGAGCCAGTTTTTAAGAGATGGCGCAATACCTAGATTTGACTACTTTTATGAATAATTTCAAACTATCTTAACTGTAAAAAAATAAAAATAAAAATTGAGATGCTAATTTTGTTTAATCTGTTTCTCATTCTCTGTTGCCCATTCTCATATATTCAAATAATTTTTCCTCGTAACTGCGTAATTGTCCTTCCGTTGCCGATTGATGTTATGCAACCAATTCCTTGATTTATACCGTAATAAGTCATATTTCAACTTAGTATTTTCTGAAAGAAATAGTTTTCTAGTTAATTTAGAGAGAGACATTTCTGGCATTTCCTTACACAAAGCGCTACTAACGTCATCCTGGTGCGGCCACTTATAACTTGCCACCAAGTAAGCAGGCGACTCCCTTTGTTAACTAAGCACCTAGCTTTTCACCTCCGGTGTGGCCTTAGCCTTAGTTCTAGTGCATAATGTATTTAGTACTAATTATTTTAATTTATGTTCGTTTTAATTTTTCATGTTAGTTTAATATCCTGGTTCTTACATTAAAAACATAAAATATTTTATAATTTGTAAGTATATGGAGATAAACATGTTGCCGGATGGGCCAAACGACTACCTAGCAAAAGCAAAGCTCTAATAGAGCAAAGCCAACGAATAGCTCTTATAAGAACCACAAAAGGGTACACGACGATTTCAACACATGCCCTACAAGTAATAGCCAACGCACCGCCAATAGACCTAGTCCTTTTGGTCATCCACCAAAAAAAGAAAAACGAGGCTATTGATATAGGAGCAAGCCAAGGAGAAATAGACTGGTTCCGAAGCACAACGGTGAAGGAGGCAAAAGAGTACTTAGGAAAAATGACAAGGGCATCTTGGCAAGAAAAATGGACAAATAGCAATAAAGGTCGGCTAACATCCAAATTTTTCCCAAGCGTTGAAAAACGACAAAAAGCAAAATGGCTACACCCCGACTACTGGACGACCGAAATGCTATCAGGACATGGAAACTTCGCAAGCTATCTTCATAAATATAAGAAAAGAGAAAGCCCTTTATGCTCCGTTTGCAGCACTGAAGAAGACGCCGAACATAAACTCTTCAGCTGTATCAAATTCAAGGCAGAAAGAGAACGTTTGCTAAAGACCATCACCTTAGCAGAATGGCCGCCTAATCTCCAAAAGCTAGTCTGTGATATCAAATCTTTTGGAGCACTAAAAGACTTTGCCTCAAATACGCTTAAATGAACAAGTCCCTATTTATTCTAATTATTAAGTCCTTAATATTGTTATTATTGTTAGAGTTTTATTACCGTTATTTATTTATTTATTGCATAATTAAACATAGGTTTAGGTTTAGGGTTCCGGGCTGTTTTTCTCTTCTTAGTAAAAAAATTTTAGATGATATAAATAATAGAAAATAAAACCAAGGAAAAGTAAATGTGCAAGGGGAAACCAGCAAGGGAAGACCTTTTGTTTTACGTTCTAAAATGAAAATATGGTCCCTTCAAAAACCCACCAGCCGTCTCGCCTGAAGGAAAGAACGTTGGGAGGTATTTTTATCCCATTTATTTGAAATCCCTTAGATATACAAATTCGATTAAGCTAAAGCGTTTGTACGCCGGTATGGGGTCTTCCTCAGGTACGGCGGGGTAGTGGAAAGGGTAAAAAAAACATGTTGTTTGTTCGTTTTGTTTCTCATCAGTTTGGTCGTTGTGCTGGTTTGTCCTCAAGCCGAAATACTCAACCAAAACAATGAAGATAGGCAGACTAATACGACCAAAACCTACCAAATACTTACTGGACCGGAATAAAGTTATATTTATGCATGAGCCTTAATACTATAATTACATAAACAGATCAGAAACAAGGTTAATAAGTTTCCGAAGAATATACTTTGAAACTATTTTTAATGACAATTAATTAAGGTTTTTAGTTGAGATGAAAAAAAGTTAATGGCACGAGAGGGATTTTTAATGATTTAAATGCTTAACAAATAGATGCACTTACAAATTTGAAACTAGAGTCTCAACCATAACAAATTTATCACTTTTACTTAGTAACGAAGACGGGTGATATAACACATATTTCATCATTAATTTATGATTTACCGATTAAAGTTTGAATAATTATTAGAGTATATTAATTTTCTTGAATTAGATAATCGTTTACGGTTGATGAACTGAACGTAAAACTTAAAGATTATCACCATAAATTGTCGTTCAAAAATGACTGCCGAATTATCGTTAAATGTAAGCCGATAAGGGTTGATGAAGTTCTCATCATCATGAGGATCGCGAGTTAGGTGCCTGTTACATCGTTAGTGTCTGAAAATCCCACGCAATGATGAAATGTCATGTGCCAACTTAATACTCAATGACTTCTCGAGATGTTTGATTGTACAGCGACGATTAAAAAAATAGACCAGATTGTTTTCTATAACATAATTTTAGGAGAAAAAAATCACACGTAAAAAGCTCTCAACTGTTATTTTTCTACGGGCTTCTAACTGGGGTTATTGGATAATTAATAAACAAAATCCTTCTTTCTCTTTCTAATCCGAATATCTATTCAAATCCAAACCTTTTCGTATCAGGATCATTTCTTTGAAGTGAAAGAAAATCCCTGCAAAGCAACTTCATTCATTCACGTTGGAAAACAGTATCAGTATTTCTATCGCTAATGACGTATATAAATTCAGTGTGAGTCGAGTTTCACTTCAAACAAAACCGGCATGAAATATTCATTATATTTATATTGTATTATTGAAGACCTTGACACGGGTGTGTATTATATTTCACCTGATTTGCAAATATTGAAAATAATTATTTGTAATGAATATGTCGTGATAAATCGTTGTTGGTTTCTAATCACGCAAATACAACCTGAAGTTTTATAATCAACTGAAAAAAGTGGTGGCCACACAAAGGAGAGTTTTAACGATCTTGACTTGGCGAAATGTAGCGGGTCCAAGATTGTTTCCATCCGGGAGTCGGCAGTCTAACTCAGAAACTTAACCACATGTAAGCAAAGTGGAGACGAAATTGGACTTACCACACGACTTAAATTATAAAACATCTAGACTTTAGGAAACTTAGCTGCGAGAAATCTGTTTTGGCAAGAGATATTCGGCCGACTCAGTTGGTCATAAATTTTTTACCTTTAAATTGAGCTCTTCCAGTTAGAAAATTGGACAATTCAATTTACAAGGTTGCGATGAATTGGTACGCACTTCGGTATTCATCGCAAATTGGATCGTAGAAATATAACATTAATTGCATGTGACAATTAAGAGAATATTGAGAACAGGTTATAATGTTCAAATGTAAACTGTTTGATATAACCTGTTACATTTCCACGCTCGAACCTTATTCAATATTGTAAGAAAAGAAATGACAATTGAATTTTGCTCTGATAAACTAAGTCAACGTGTAAAATTGATCAAAATAAGACGATTGTACCGTTTGTTCAAAATTAGGTCCAAAGTATCAAGTTGAGTAAAGTTGACAAGTTTGGAATACATGTTAATTTTTCTTATTCTTCTTAACAAAATATATGATCTACCAAAAACTACCTCTTTTTTGCAAAACAAATTTTACTCAATTTAATTTAAGTTAATTAGATTTCGACATTTAGCCATTCAAAAGAAAACTTTATTCTTTAATACAATCAAACTCAAAATATGTTTTTTTAATAGAGCAACACACCATTTCAGGTATTTTAAGTAAATGATTGAAGTACGGTTAACAAAACGAACTCCGGACGTGAAACACTTATGGAGTCCGTAAATACTCAAGCAACACGCTTTTCCCTTTTTGCTGTTTGATAAACAATCAATGAAATGTTGTTCACATCAGCTTTATGCAGATTACTCCCAAAATTACTGTTCCTGCCCACCTTCCGACTTACAAGCTGCAATTGTAAATGTAATAATTATAGAGGGCTTAAACTCAATTAGCACCTGTGCCGCTGGGAAATAGTCTTAACTTGAGCCTAGAAAGTCCCTGTGTATTGTGTTTGTTCCAGTTCCCTCATCCATTCCTTCCCACCTACACCTCCGTAAAATTAACAATCACACAATTTTCTTCGGTCAAGAACCTTCGTTGATCAGACGTTGTCCTGCAAGCTTCATATTTCTCAAATTTATTGACGCTTTTTTTACACCTCTATCAATTCCGTACCGTCAGCCACTTTCTCCCCGTTAGTACGCGTAAACTCTTATTTCCCTTCTTTATTATCCACCATTTCGATCAATGTCAGATGAGGGCGCTTGAATAATAATAGTAATAGTAAGCAGTAATTTTCATAAGCAGATTTATAAGTAATGTTGCATTTCCGCTTTTGAAACAACTAAGATAGAGCCAATACAAGTACTCAACTTTAAACACCTTAGCACATTCCTGACGAATCCTCAAATTTACGTCAAAGCAAGAATTGCATAAGTAAAATTACCGATCATGTGGCAGAAGAAGAAGTTCAGGCCGCACATTAACAAATGATAATTGCAATTTTCTGACATCAACAGACGCTTGAACAAGATCCTAAAACTGCATTTGTATTCGACGTGTTCTACGCCAGTTTAACTGTGTCCTTTCTGAGGAATGAATAGGTTTTTAAGAGCAGCAGAACCATCACTGACTAACCGAGTTGAAAGGTGTACTGTGAAACGCCACTAATTTTCGTATCAACAAAAGAATCATGGAAATGCCCATAAAAGCAAAACCAGAAAAACTTAACAGTTAGTGTTTAAATATATTATTTCAAAAACTTGTAAAGCAATTGGTTATAATATTGCCTGGCCAACCAGTTCGTTCTGCGGTAAGGAAAGAAAGGATGCCATTAGTAATTAATTTTCAATGTGTTAAAAAAAGTTACAACCGATTGTCTTTTTTATACTTCCTCTTCAGAATACAAAAGCTTTACAATATTTCAAGTCCGTCTGTAGCCTCAACAGATTTTGTTTGCTACTTCGAAATGTATGCATCTTATAAAAACAGACATCCCGTTGTAACTGTTCTTAAAAACAAGAAAGTAACCTTCAAGATCTTTAAAGGGAAACCACATTTAAAAGGAAAACAATTAAAAACAAATTCACTAATTTTTGTGGTCCGCTTGACCAATTAATATCTTTCATTAATTAAGGTTTTTGTTGAGATAAAAAAGTCGGTGTCACGAGCGGGATTCGAACCGGCCAGATACGCCGCTGCTCTACCACTTGAGCTATCTTGACTTCGATCCATTTGGACACTAACTTCCCATCTTAACCCCACCTTTAGAATTTTCCCTCCTTTTTGCCATTTGAAAAATTCTTCCCCTTTTTGCTCGTAACATTGACTTTTTTATCTCAACTAAAAACCTTAATTAATTGAAAGATAATAAAACCAAAGTTAATTTTATGAAAGGTTAAATTTTCAAGCCAATAAACGCCCTGCAGATTTGCCAATCAATCTTGATGTTCTGCAGCATTGTTCGTATGATCATCTTAAAGAAATTAACATCAATTACGTTCTTGATGAAGTTATGGTGGTGTTTTATTTTATAAATTCTCCTTTTATTTATTTGTTTTATTTTATTTATTTTTTTTTTGTTGAACTTTTCAGCAGTTTTTATTTTGTTTTGATAACACTGGGAGTAATGCAAGATGTGTTCTGTCGAAATTAGACGAAACAAAGATGATTAGTGTACATTAAAATAATGCCCAAAATATATATTTTCTACCTTAAAAAATGCCAATCCAATAATTTCCACGAGGTGACTTGAAATGATTCATTTAAGAAAAAAAGTCGTTGTTTCTCCCGAGTAAAAACTAGATTCACGTTCCTGTCGGCCGTGAGATAAGTAGATTTGGGCGAATCCTGACTTGTCAGAACAATGTGCAAGACGCTCGCCTTCTCGAAGTACGCCAATAAAATCGCCGTCTCAGACTTTATCGGAGCAAAAGTAATTAGAGGAAAAGTACTGTAGATCAGGTCGAACCAAATTAATTTATTCTATAACATCTTAAGACGAAAAGTTAAGAGGAAATGTTGGTTTGTAATTTTAAATAATATTAGTTTTTCATTTCCAAGAGGTGAAAACTTGAATTTAACCTAAAGCTTATAATTACAAAACCATGTCTAGAATCTTACCTCGCACTTTCTGATCTTAAGAAAATTCCCTTGCAGCACTTTGATCAGTTTTTTGTCTATTAAAACCTCATTTAAAGTTCATCCTAATGAGAAAGAACAGGTTTTGTGCAGTAATGATTGTGTGAAAAACGGGAAATATTCACCATTGTATGGGCCACAAAAATAAGTTATATTAAATGTGTTACCAAAACTCAACATTCACTCATAATTTTCATTTAGTTTAAAAATTCACAATTTTAGATGATATTAATGACCTAGATAGAATAATTCATATATACAATAATAAATTCATTTCTGGATTAAAAAAATAAAATAAAGCAAAAGCAGAATCGATAATCGACCCCATTTGTGATCACTTGGGTAATGATTTTTTTTAAATTCAATAAGATTCAATAAGTAATTTTCCAGGTATAAGATTTAAGGCAGGAATTTGGCGATAAACGTGTTGTCCTGACAAACTGATTCTGTCAAAATCCGACATAGAATATATTACGTTCTCCCTTTACTCATCATGTATCTTTCTGTGTTCTAAAAAAGTAAATCTAAAGTGGAAATATTTCTACGATTCTACCGCTTATAGATTTATTATAAATCAAACATATATTTGGAACTTTTTAAATAGTAATTGAGAGTGACAGAATATTGAGTTTTTTTATTTTTTGTTATTTTAATTGTGAAGTCTACTTTTCAGTCTTGAAAGTTTATATTTCTAAATAATATCTCTGGACTCAAACTAAAAGGAATGTATAAGGATCACGGGCCTCATCCGATAAAGAAAAAGCATTCCAGTTCGCCTTCCTGCCGTATTTACCCAGTATGCCAGGCTTCAAGAATACCTACAACAATATCTCTCACATTCCCCTAAACCTTTTGCTCTTCTGATATCAAATATTAATTAAAAATCTATCCATACAGAAAGTTCCTGGATTTGACCCCAAAATTCCTTCAACCCGTGTAAACTGTCAAGAAAAGCCAGTTTTCCTGGTCGACATTTTTTAATGCAACTCTCCGAACCACTCATTTTCCGACGCCACAGTTTACTCAAGTTCTATCAGGTTAATGCCACTAAACTCCTTTGTAAACAAATTCTCCCCATCCTCGAATATTCTATTATAATTACCGACGGTCAATTTGGATTTAGGCAATACTATGCCACTGTTCAACAGCGCCATCATTTTGTGGACTTCATCACCTCTTCCCCAGAGAAGAAAGAATAGGGGGGAAGAAAGGGCGCTTCCTTCATCGACTTTCAATTGAGTCTACCTCCTGGGTTTATTCTGGAAACTCGAGGGCATACTATTATCAGTCCTCTTTTTGTTTCTTAATGTACTTCTGAGTATGGGTCGGGTTCTTTCTCTCTCCTTAGTACGCGGCATCCTCGGCCGTTGCTGTACTCAGTATAATACTGCTGTTATCCCTTCTCATCTCAACACCACTATCCTAACATATGCTGACCACACTGCCATTCTACCCTTTAACTTTGTACCAATTATAGCTCACCGAACTCTTTAGACCTATATTCATTCCATTTCTCCAAATGGTTCAAAAAATGGCAAATCAAACTCAACACCATAAAGTTCCAAAATATAACAATGAACCTCCATCGCATCATTCCAATAATCCGATAGAACTTCATGCCCCTTTTACCGAAAATATCATCCTCTATCTCGGCTTGTATCTACATAAGCGACATGTAATTCCTGCACACGAGTTGAAAGGACATTACTGAACGAACTATACCGATGAGTTAAAATCTCTAATAACAAATCTCAACTTTCCTTCCACCACATAATTCTCTAACCAATATGGACATAGCGCAATAACTAGCTCAGCCAAACCTTTCAATCCCCGCCGAATCCAGCCCCTACAATCACGAATCCTTAGATCCATCGTATACGCCCTTTTCTATAAAAACCTCCAATCTCACAATTCTCTGATGAACTTGATCTCTGCCAATAAATTTTCTCGACGTCTCAAAAGACCGTGGTGGCATGACTTGTTCTCTAAATGTGCGAATGATTAAAATTATTGGAGCTTCCCTACTCCAGTTATTATTGTTTTATCTATATACATATTGAATTGAAAGACATTTACTCCACCTCACGCAGACTATTGCTTAATTAAAAAATGATATTATAATAAAACCTTAGATTAAAAACAATTACATTGTCATTTCAATACTTCTACAGTAAAACTGTTTTAAAAAATTCTTAAAAGTATGAGCTATATGAGATGGAGCTATATGAGGACATCTTTAAACAATAAATCCTGTGTAATAATATTTTACAGTGGATTGGCTTTTCATTGCACTTAAAATTTAAACATAAGTCTACATGGCATTCGGTTAAGATTTAATGGTCACACAAAATATGATATTTATAATAAATTATAAGTGACCACCATGTACTTTTTCTCATATCAACATTGTTTTTTCTTTGATAGTCCATTTTAAATTTTATCGTTTTTATAAATCAATATAAATTTAGAGAAAAGAAATACACATATAATGAAAATAAGTTTAAAATGGATAAAACCTTCATGTTCAATGTAAAACAATCTTTACATTAACAAAAAGACTTCAAGAGTCAAGACAATGTGATTTTTTCTGTTACTGTTTTACTAGATATAATGTACGTTAAAACATACTTTGTTTTTCAGAACGAGCACTCCATACCTTTTCAACACAGAGCTGGCATATTTACACATCAATGAATCTGCAAACTTTTCACGACATCAAGGGTAAAAGCTTTCATTAGTAGCTCAAATCACCCCCCCCATAGGGGTAATATTTTATACACTCAAAGACAAAAGAAAGAACGGACACTCGTGTTTTGTTGTTTATTTCAAACTACATGTATTGTATCATTATATTAATTGCAACACTTTTTTCGATGTAAACCAAATTAAACGAGATCAGAAATTCATGCTTTTTAATAAAAATTATTTAATTATAATGGTTTTAAAGAAAATTCACCAAAACACCAGAAAATCGTTTAGGGATCTCCTAGCCATCGAGTAAACAAGCGATTGAATTTCGTCTTGTGAAACCTAAACCCATTCTTCAACAAAAGCGGTTTGGAGCGGAACAATGCTTCATAAAATCGGCGAACGATGTCTCCTAATACATCTCGTTATCGTGTCCCATAATTGTTCTATAGATTTTATTTCAATTAATTGTGATAATCCTTACATACTCGAGCTACATGCGGTCAACCATTATCACGCATTAACACGGATTTGTCCCTCATAAATCGAGCACATGGGATCACAGCTTCCAGAAGAACTTTCCCAATGTTCCTTATGTCAAAAATCAGATCATCAGTTCTATACGGCAGTTTTGAAAAGGCTGTGACTCATGCATGATAAAGGAAGTGAAGCGTTTTCTAAGTTGTAACCACAACGTGCCGGACACAACGCCACAAACCAAATCGTTACTCAACTGTGAAGACGACAGCCCACCCAAGTGACCTGCAGATGCTGATTTGTGAATAGCCTTACTACACCTATACCTCTGAAGTAGTAGCGAACCTGGTGCGGGACGTCTTCTATTCTATTCTCAGGAAGCCATCTGAGATTGTTTTAGAGCTTAACCTTGCATTATAGACCGTTTGGAGTATACTACTTATCCAGGAAGCCGTTATATGACAGTTCCGTAGTGGGGTAAGAGCAATAAAACGATCGTCTCTACCCGACGTACATCGCGGTCGACCACTACTTTCTGTTCGATCGAGATTTTCGTTGGCCATAAATCACTGAAGACCATCGTGGATGGTAGAGCGCGGCAGACCTGGGACTTGGGCTATGTAAGGGACGCTACGTCCGCCGTTGGCCAAAGCTTCTGTACGAGCGAGATTTTCTCGACTTAAAACCATGCTTTTAAGAAAAAAAATTAATTAATACTTTTATACTGAAATTGATTTTTTCATCAAAGAAAACCATTTAAAAACCAATTAACTCACTCGACAAGTTGGCTGAGGAAAGAATGAAATTTCTTTATTTTTAATCTGAAGAGTGTAAAAGGATTAGTAATACTCTATAAAGGTAAATAAGTTATTAATTTTGTGTTTACGTTTTAAATCAACTTTATACTAGTTATTATGGAAAATAAACAAATAAACACAAGAGTCCGGTTTTTAACTTTGAGTGTATATTTAATATCTAACGAATCTTTATATTATTCATCAGAAATTCAGTCATGTCACTATCGCTCAAACATTTAACCTCTCGGTTTGAGGAGCACTTTTTGTTAAGCAAATACTTATAATTTTAAAAAGGTAAGTCCTACCAGAACCTAACGTCAATAGATTATTACAAAGCGTTTTTAGATCTGGGTGAAATTTGAATATTTAAATTTATCTTAATCTCAGAGGTTCTCATGCAATTTGAATGACTAATTTTTTATCAGATGCTTCCTAAAAATGTCAACATCTGTATAACAATTTCGAAAGCTTTGGTTTTTTTAAATATTATCTTTAGGTCAGTGTAGATTTTTTTAGTAGATTAGCAAATGTCGACCAATAATGCAAGCAGGACGCAGGAAAATCCAAATGTTGGCCCAAGAAGGAGCATGAGAATAAGAAATAGGCAGGAACAATTAAAACGTGGCATAGAAGTCATTGATATCGATGTAACAAGTTCTGTGGCCGAGTTAAAAGATAATGACGTTCAATTTCCGGAATCGAGTCCCTGTGAAAATAAATCATTACAAGAGAAAACGCGGAACTCAAACGTCAACCCCACTGAAGGACATGGAAATACAGAAAGTTCTAGTAACGCGAACGAAATGGTTTCAGACCAAAGCGTAAGAAAGACGTATCCTAGCACCAGTGAAAAAAACGATAATAGCAATAATTTTGAAACTATAGTAATAAAAAAAGAACGACAGTCTGGTGAGGAAGCTGAGTATCTAGAAACACAGGCGGATACTAACTTTTCTAATGAAATTCCGAAGGAATCTAAACGTCTAACCGCCGAGAGAAAAGACATAAAGAAAACTAGACGTGATATCCGTGGTGTTAAACGAAAACGGGCTTCCAGTGACAACAGCTTTCTTTCCGAGAGCGGTTTAAACCCGCCGCCCCCAAAACGACGTCTCAATTCAATTTTCAAAAAGGTAAATCCAAAATTGTTGAGTCAAAAAACGGATACGTGCACGTTGCAACTACCTAAACGGTCTGCTAGGGATGTGATGAAGCAAAAGCAATGGCTCCGCATCATGGCGAATTGCTTAAAACTTCGTCATAAAACATCCGAAAATATCTGCCAATGTCAAATCTCCAATCCCATCAATAAAACAAAGAGGTGAGTAGACGTCGGATTGGGTACTCCAGATGGAAATGCTATTTAAAAACTTCCCGAAAGCAACTAAATTATTAAAGATTAATAAAACCATAAAATCCAAATCAGCTTAACTGTCTCTTTATGCGTAATAGCATAGATTGTGGAATGGGTTAACCCAGCAGAATGCGGTTAGAACAAATGCCATGAAATTCCTGAGGTCTCTGTGTTCATATGCGCACAGTTAAGAATCTTTATATTAAAAACTGAAACATAGTTACTACAGTTATGCTATAAGCCTTTCTCTAATTGCGATGACTATTGCATTAGTATGTACTAATTTAAAAAATATTGGAGTACGATTCTTCCAATGGACAATTTTCATTCCAAATATCACACATCAATATCATTTATTCTTCATTTCTTTATATATTATTATATATAAAATATATTAAAATTATTAATATATTAAAATATTATTGTATATAAAATTCAAGAGAAAGAGAGTAAGAAAGGGTAGGCGGGAGGAGAGAGAAAGAGCGTGTGAAAGAGAGAGCAAGCGGTAAAGGGTGAGAGATTGGACAAATGAGAGGAAGAGATAGATCCACCGAAGGCCCGTCTGGACAGCTGACAGCTGAGAAAACAGATGTGGAAGTGAACGCCACGTATTTCTGAAATCTGAAATATGCCAATTTCAGCATTGTAGTCTGTAAACCGGTCTGGCACTAATAAAACCAAAGTGTGTAAGTTTCATCGAAATTGGTTCAGTAGTTTTCGATTTTAGATTAACACTTATATATAGATAGATATAATAATAATAATAATAATAATAATTCAATTATATAATAATAATAATAATAATAATAATAAAATACAAATTATGAACAAAAAACTAAACAAAGTCGAACCTTCTGGAGAATTTCATTTATTAGATTTCGTGGTCCGCTTGACCAAATAAGGAATGTCGAAGCTTCTGGAGAATGTTATTAAATGGAACCAGTAAGATACAATTAAATTTATTTGTATGGTTTTCTAATTGGTACGAGGGCCCTGCCTTCTGGCCTAATTTAATTAAATTTTCTTTTGATAGCTGGTTGATAAAAACCGAGGTTTTTCCTGTGGGGAGGAATCTAAAAAGCCGTGTTTTTCGCCTAAAGATTGTCATTGTAATAACTAGGAAATGTTCGAGTTGATAATCTCAGTGGTTGGGATTTTGGTTAATTTTCGGGTGCAAGTAGGTTTTATAGACGTACGAAAAATAAAGTGTTAGGGTAAAAAGAAAAATCTGGTCTGCGGATCTTTCAAGATAGAACATAAATTCACTAATTTTCGTGGTCCGCTTGACCAATTAATATCTTTCAATTAAGCGGACCACGAAACTAGTGAATTTAATAAGTTTAAATGAAGTATACCTTCACTAAAGCTCTCCGTGGCCATTTCATTTGTCGCCGAGAATCAAATAGATTACACGACATTTGAAAAATGGCAAAAAGGAGGGAAAATTCAAAAGGTGGTGTTGAGATGGGAAGTTAGTGTCCGAGTGGATCGACGTCACGATAGCTTATGTGGTAGAGCAGCGGCGTATCTAGCCGAAGATCGTGGGTTCGAATCCCGCTCTTGACACTGACTTTTTATCTCAACTAAATACTTAGTTAATTGTAACATATTAATAACCTCTAGTTAGAATTGGCGTAATCGAATGGATAACTGGTAAGGATTAGACCGGCTTAGCATTCTGAATAATTGGCCAATGAATTTAACTTAAATTATACTTCTTACCCTCCAATGTTTTTATTAAATAAAAAATAATCAAATTAAAACAGTCGGGTAGGAGGGCTCAATCCATGGGAACTTATTATTATAAATAAATGGACGAGTGACTGGAATGTAAAATATCGTACGTTCTATTGGTAAGTTATCTCTGATTATTTCCTGTTATTCGTTTTAGAGGATTATTTCCAGGAAATAAATATTTATTGATTTTCTATCATTGGGCCATGCATGTTGAAATGAGTTTTGAATTCATTAATACTCTATTCTGGTGACACAGTAAGCCAAAAAAAATTTTCCTCGGCACTCAAGAAGAACTGCACTAATTCTATAAAAATTCAGGTCACGGTTTATCCGAAGCATCCTGCCAGATGTAGCCTTTTATTTGATTTTTTTCAACGGATGTTTCCTACCCTTGGAACTTTTTTAACCAACCCTATCTAAAGTTCGAAGGTTAAATAACACGAACTTTAGGACCAAACTGATACTTGTTACCATTATCAACAATCGGCCTGGAAATTTTTTTTTTAATATCTTTTGTACATACATTCATAGATTCGTGCTATGATTTTCACATGGTCAGCACTGCCATCGGAGGACACGGACACAACGCACGCTGAAGGACTGACTACATGCTATTACTACTAACATAATTTAAGGCGACGTGGAGGATCCAGGAAATGTGAGATAAC